GGGGTTTTGAGCTCAATGACTGTTTGGGTGAACCAGGTTCTCTTTGGGAGTATGACTAGAGTTGAGATGGCCTTGGATTCTGTGTTTTGAGAAAAACCTGTCTCTGTCTTTTCTTTTTTTTTTTTCACACTCCGGCCTTGAGCGTGATGACATTGTTGTGGCACCTGTGCTTCTTATCCCTTCTACCACAAGATGTTTTTGTAATTTTTTTTTTTGCTGACTTGATAATGGGACCTGTTTCAAAAGTTCCGGTGCCCCGTCGTGATAAGTGTGTGTTTCTTTTATTTCCTTCCTGCGTTCATGGGACCTTTCTCAGCCGGGCGTAGCAGAGTTCTCATGTTCTCATAGTTGGCGTGAGGTCAAAGGACAGTCATGAATGCACCCTTGAGTGTCTGAAATGACTTATATATCTAGCTTAAGCACAGAAATAAAGACGGGCACATTTTAGACAGATGATATTGTCAAAAAATTTCCGGCCACATATTGTTTTTCCTTCTCGTGTCTGCTTACTTCTCCTACATAAAAAACAAACATGACAATAAAAAGTAAACTCAGAAACTTCAAAATGAATTCAAAATGTTTTCTATTGCAATTACATTGTAAAATATGGAATTGTCTCTCTCTCTCTTACTCACTCACTTACTCACACGCATAAAACCATTTCCAATTAGAGCACTGAGTCATGGTTTTGCACAATGGCTGAGCTGCCTAATCACATAAGGCTGGCTTATCTGTTTCACCAAGGGCACCCCTTGTACTCTGGCCTACTCTGTGTGTGTGTGTGTTGTGTGTTGTTCTTTTAGTGATTGAAATCCAAAGATAAGCAGGCTGATAGCATATCCACTGGAAAGAAGCGAAGAGAAGAAAAGTTGTAAAGGGCTTACCTGGCAGATGAATTATCCCTTGATGTCATCTACCCGTACAAAAATGAAGCGGCCATTTTGGACAAAGATAAACACGAAAAAATGAAATGAATTATATGTAAATGTGTGTAATCTTTTAAAATGATACCACGGTTTAAAAAGCTAGCTAATACAAAAGAAAAAAAACTACAGTCCTCTGAATATTGTCAATTTAAGGTATCAGGTGGCACACCAGAAACTAGAGAAAGGAACATTCTGCTGGGGAGATCAGGACAGTCGAATGGTTCATCTTCATAGTTGTGAAAAGCAAATAACAGCTGTCATTGAAATTTTCACTGCTGCGCAGACTCTGATGACATTTTAGCGGACATGCACCCCTCCTGGTGACATTTTTCTAGAGGTGAAACCACACTTGGGGAGCTGGAATAAGAGCAAGTGCGCCAAAGTCCTCTTCCCATCAGTATGGGTTCTTAACGGATGATCTTCAACCCTGCACATCTTCCACCCCTGGAGGATAATTCTCACAA